CGGTTATTTCTTTTTCCTCTGGTTTTTGTTCTTCAGCTGTTGGCTCTTTTGGTTTTGTCAATTTTTTCACTAATTTTTTCTTTGTTTCTACACCAACTTTGGATTCGATGTCTGGTTTAATCTCTTCTTCAGGTTTTTGCTCATCAAGAACATCCTCAGTCGGTTTTAATTCAATCATTTCCTCAGTGATGTCTGTTGTTTTAGATTTTCGTCTGATAACTTTCTTCTTTTTCGGTTTTTCTTTTTCTTCACTTGGTTTGATTTCTTCTTCATCAGGAAGCTCGATGATTTCCTCTGTTACAGTGACTGTTGTTTCTTCTGTCATCTCTTTTTCAACAGTTTCTTGTAGTTCAGGTTTTGGTTTGGTCAATTTTTTCACCAATTTTTTCTTTGTTTCAACACCGACTTCTGATTCAATATCAGGTTGAATCTCTTCTTCTGGTTTTTGCTCCTCGAGAACTTCCTCAGTCGGTTTCAATTCAATTATTTCTTCAGTAATTTCTGTCGTTTCTTCATCTGGTTTAGATTTTCGTCTTATGACTTTCTTCTTTTTCTGTTTTTCTTTTTCTTCACTTGGTTTGATTTCTTCTTCATCTGGAAGCTCGATGATTTCCTCAGTGACAGTGACTGTCATTTCTTCTGTTATTTCTTTTTCTTCAGGTGTCTGTTCATCACCTGTCGGTTCTTTTGGTTTCTTTACTTTCTTAATCTTTTTCACAATTTTCTTTTTACCTTCAGGTGTTTCTTCGATAGTTTCTATAATTTCTTCTTGCCTTTTTTCCTCATCTTCTACCAATTCAATGATTTCTTCAAAGATTTCTGTTTTAACATCTTCAATAATTTCTTTTTCTTCTGTTTCTGGAATTTCTTCGATTGATTCTTTTTGTTTTGGTTTTTTCAAAATCTTTTTCTTTGTTTCGTGCTCAATTTTGGATTCATCATCTGGTTGAATCTCTTCTTCGACTCTCTCATCTGATTGCTTCAAACTTATCATTTCTTCTGTCACTTTGGGTTTCTTTACTTTTTTGATCTTTTTGACGATTTTCTTTTCACCTTCTGGTGTTTCTTCAACTGATTCAATGACTTCGATTGTTTCAATCATTTCTGGTTGTTCGGGTTGTTCGGTAATTTCTTCATCTTTAGGTTTTTCTTCTTCGACAGCTTTTGGCTTTTCTGATTTTGATCTCTTTATTTTTTTAGTCTTTTTAATCATTTTCTTTTCACCTTCTGGTGTCTCTTCCACAGTTTCGATGATTTCCTCTGTTTCAGAAATATCTTCTGCTTTAGGTTCTGCTATTTCTTCCTGTATTGGTTCTTTCGAAGGTCTTTCATCTTTTGGTTTCTTTACTTTCTTTATCTTTTTGACAATTTTCTTTTCACCATCAGGTGACTCTTCAACTGTCTCAATAATTTCGGTTGTTTCGATCATTTCTGGTTGTTCAACGATTTCCTCTGGTTTATCATCTTCTATTGTCAATGTTTCTTCCGATGGTTTTCCAACTTTTGGTTTTTTCATTTTCTTGATTTTTTTGGTGATTTTCTTTTGAGCACCATCTGAGGTCACTTCGATGATTTCTTCTTCTTCATCAGGCAAATCGATAATTTCCTCTAAGATTTCGGTTTTTACTTCTTCGGTAATTTCTTTTTCTTCTGTTTCTGAAATTTCCGTAACTGATTCTTTATGTTTTGGTTTTTTCATTAACTTTTTCTTTGTTGTCGTTTCAATTTTGGATTCATCTTCAGGTTTGATCTCATCTTCGATTGAATCTTCCGTAATTGGTTCTTCATCTTTAATTTTCATACTTATCATTTCACCTGTATCTTCTTTTGGTTTCTTGACTTTTTTGATCTTTTTGATAACCTTCTTTTCACCATCTTCAATAGTTTCAATAATCTCAGTCTCTTCATCGATATCATGTTCCCCAGGAATAATTTGTTCAGTCGAAACGTCAGTTTCTTCATCTGGTTTAGATTCGGATTTAATTTCTTCTTCTTCTGGTTGTTCAATAATTTCACTTTCAATGGGCAATTCTGTTTCCTCCATTGGTTTTTCTTCATTTAATTTTTTGACTTTTTTAGTTTTTTTGATCAATTTCTTTCCTCCTTCTTTTGTTTCTTCTACTGTTTCTTCTACTGTTTCAATGATTTTGATCTCTTCTTGTTCTTCAGGAATTTCTTCCTCGGTTGGTTTCAATTCAATCATTTCCTCAGTGATGTCTGTCGTTTCTTCATCTGGTTTAGATTTTCGTTTAATAACTTTTTTCTTTTTCTTCAGTTTTTCTTTTTCATCACTTGATTTAATTCCTTTTTCTTCATCGGGAGGCTCGATGATTTCCTCAGTGATAGTGACTGTTGTTTCTTCGGTTATTTCTTTTTCACCGACTTCATGTAATTCAGCTTTTGGTTTGGTCAATTTTTTTACTAATTTTTTCTTTGTTTCAACACCGACTTCAGATTCGATGTCTGGTTGAATCTCTTCTTCAGGTTTTTGCTCCTCAAGAACTTCCTCAGTCGGTTTCAATTCAATCATTTCTTCTGTGATGACTGTTGTTTCTTCATCTGGTTTAGATTTTCTTCTTATAACTTTTTTCTTTTTCTTAGGTTTTTCATCGTCTTCAGGTTTAACATCCTCAGGAAGCTCAATAATTTGCTCGGTGACAGTGACAGTAGTTTCTTCGGTTATTTCTTTTTCTTCAGCTTCCTGTAATTCATCTGTTGGTTCCTTTGGTTTGGTCAATTTTTTCACTAATTTTTTTTTTGTTTCTACATCGACTTCAGAGTCAATATCAGGTTGAATTTCTTCTTCTGGTTTTTGCTCATCGAGAATTTCTTCGGTTGGTTTCAGTTCGATCATTTCTTCTGTCACTTTCGGTTTCTTTACTTTTTTGATCTTTTTGACTATTTTCTTTTCACCTTCGGGTGTCGATTCAACTGTTTCGATAACTTCAATTGTTTCGATCATTTCAACAGGTTCAAGTTTTTCTGTTATTTCATCTTCGACAGATTTTTGTTCCTCACTAGATTTTGTCTCTTGAATTTCTGGTTTCTTTTCTATTTCCATAATCTTTTCATCTTTACTTTTCTTTACTTTCTTCTTCATCTTTTTGACAATTGTCTTCTTGCCGTCAGATGTCTCTTCAATTGTTTCAATAACTTCACTTGTCTCTTCTTCTTCTGGTTGTTCAACTATTTCATCTTCCTTAGGTTCATCACCTTCAATCACCAATGTTTCTTCTTTGGGTTTTTCATCTTTAAATTTTTTCACTTTCTTAATCTTTTTAATCACTTTCTTTTCTCCTTCTGGTGTTTCTTCTATCGTTTCAATTATCTCTGTTGTTCCTTCCTCATCAGGAACTTTCTCACTGATTTCACCCTCGATCAGAACCGATTCTTCGATTGGTTTTTTATCTTTGGGTTTCTTTACTTTCTTTACCTTTTTGACGACTTTCTTTTTACCTTCAGGTGTTTCTTCGATAGTTTCTGTAATTTCTTCGGGCATTTGCTCATCATTAGGTAATTCGATGATTTCTGAGACAAAGATTTCAGTTTTGATTTCTTCGGTCACTTCTTTTTCTTCTGTTTCTGGAATTTCAGTAATAGATTCCTTTCGTTTTGGTTTTTTCAAAATCTTTTTCTTTGTTTCGGTTTCAACTTTAGATTCTTCTTCAGGTCGGATCTCTTCGTCGGGTTTTTGATCATCGAGATCTTTTTCACTAGGTTTCAATTCAATCATTTCTTCTGTGATGGCTGTCGTTTCTTCATCTGGTTTAGACTTTCGTCTGATAATTTTCTTCTTTTTCGGTTTTTCTTTTTCAT